AGGAGTTCTTGGACTGAGTGTGCAAAGGCTGTTGGGTAGAAGGGTGTGGCTTCCACTGATAATGCACCTCCTGGGCTGGATGTGTTACAGAGCAAACCAGAAGCCCTCTGTATCCAGGGCTTCCACGACCACGGATCCAGCCAGTGGCGGGTCGGAAATACTATAGAAAAAAGTTCCATCTGTGCTGAACACTTACAAGACTTTCTCTTGTCTTTATTTTCTAAACAAGACAGTATAAAAGAGATTTGAAGCATATGAGTGAGCCCAGTGTGGTAGTGCACACCTGGAATCCCAGCAACTCAGGAGGCTGAGGCAGGAGGATCTCAAGTTCAGGGACAGCCTCATAACTCAGTGAGACCCTGTCTCAAAATAACAAGTTAAAAGGGGTGGGGATGTGACCCAGTGGTTAAGCGTCCTTGGGTTCAATCCCTGGTAGATAGGTGTGTACGTACATCAATCAAAGTAAAAGGGCTCTGGAATTTGGCTTAGTGGTCAAAGCCCCCTGAGTTTCTCCCACACACACCTAAAAATTAGAATGTGTCAGAGCATACGTGTAGATTGTATTCAAACACCATGCCTTTTATATAAGGGACTTGAGCATCTGCAGATTTTGGTACCCATGGCMGGGGGCATCCTGAAATCCATCTCTCATGGATACCCTGGAAACTGGAGCCCGATAACCATTTCCATATACCTCTAATGCCTACAGGCTGTTAAACATAAATTATAGGGAAGCCCTTGTTTTGGACTAAGCTCCTGCCCTGGACCCCAACAGAGTAGGCTAGAGATCAAAATGAAATCCCTGGAATTGCACCTCTCCACCCTGAAGCTCAGCAGTTCAYGTGACCTCTGGAGATGGGCAGCCATGGAGAGAGCCCGCTTTCCCCAACAGGCCAGTGTGAATTGTCCTGATGATGACGTTTGCTCTCCCTTAACCTTACACACAAAAAAAGTAGCCTGTGTCAATCGGTTTTCTTCCTGTAGTTCTTTCTCGCTCTCCCTGTCTTCTAAGGAAACCGACTTTGAAATGGCAGTAGTCCTCTTTATCGATCCCTCTGACCCCCTTTCTTCAGCCACTTTTTCTGTTAAGAAAACCATCCTCTTGTGCTCAGCTTCCTGGAACRTTCATTCTATTCTGTGGAATGAAGTGTCGCCTGCATCTAGAATCAGAGATTAAGCAAAGTAAGATCTTTCAATCCCTTCCATCTCGTCCTCTGACARCGCTGTACTGAGCATTGTTGTAGGTGAGACCCGCTTCTGCCCTCTTAGGTTCCCCTGGAAATTAAACCGGTCAAAGACACATTTGCGGAAACGCTGCACTGGGTTGGTTATTAGCCCATGCGTCTTGTTTACACAAGTAAGCTCCCAGGGACAGTAACCCCCCGGCTGGGGGGCGGTTAGAATTGGGGTACAGACTAAGGCGAAGGAGAGGCTTGGGAGCTCCTGGGGGCAGATGAGGAGGGAAAGCAGTGAGCCTGGGCTTAGTAGGTTCGTTATGCAGATTTACAGCCTTGACTTCTCCATTGGTGAGAAATGGGATTTTTCCTGGTGCAGAAAGACAAAAGTGCCCAGTTCTTAAGACTTTCCCTTAGTCCTTTAGCCCCAGATGACCCCTCTGCCCAGTACAGCGTCTTGGAGTGGCCTGTTCTGGTACCCTTCGATAACGCTGCGTCATCCTTTCCTTTTTCTCTCAAAGTCCTAACTGGATTTTGTTTCTTTGTTTAGGGGTACCCAGAACTTTCCTTTTTGTCTCCCCACRCTGTCAAATTAGAAAAATAGAAGCAGTTGCCACAAGACAGAGTAGAATCTCTCCTCGGCAATGACAAATCCGTGTCRTGCCCCAGACGTGTTTTCATGTGAGAGTGGTTTACTGGAGTCCCAGGCTAGAGGCCTGACTCCAGGGAGCCAACAAACCAGACCTGGCCGTTCACCCCAAAAGGCAAACAGCAAAGGTGATGGTAGAAAGCAGGACAGGAACCTTGGTCAGCGCAGCTGCACRGGAAGACAAGAGGACGGGTCCTTAGCCCTGCCTTCCAGGAGTGAAGGGAACTTGGAGATTTTCTAGATAGGAGGATGAGGGCAGGGGTTGGGGGTTTGCAGAGCTGGAGGCTTTTCACAGGTGATCTCTGTCCATCTGTCTCCGGCAGAGCTTGTCCCAGATAAGAAACTTGCTGTTTCCTGGGGTGGGGGTGGGGGGTGGCTTCCGCCCATCACAAGATGTTGATCAACTCAGACCTTGTTCCTGGAATCCAAGGTCACTTAGAGCAAAGCACATGGATGCAAAATGGAGGCAGAGATGCCAAGGCTTTAATCCTCAGAGATGAGGAACCCGTGTCCTTGTTATAAGGTTACTGTCAACCATAACGTTGCCATGGTGACTCCTGAGTCACAGAGCTGTTTAGAGTTTTTATTAATTAAAAAGATTTCTGGGTGGGGGATGCTGTTCCGTGGTTTAGCACTTGCCTGGCATGCATAAGACTTGAGTCTCTCCCCCCTGCCCTGCCCCCCCCCAAAAAAAAGGGGAAAAAAAAAAGAAAAAGAAAAAAATTCTTCTGCACTTGCTAGTAAAATATATGGAATAAGTCTTCAATTATTTGAAGAGCCATTTCCAACTGATGTTTTCATTTCAATGATTGCAAAATGTGAAAAAAAAATGTCCTATATTCTATGTTAAGGCAGCAATGTGTATACTGAATGTAAGCAGTATATACTTGCCTTTATTTCTGAGGCTCTGGTTGTGTGGATTTTTGTGAAATGCTTATTTGATCCAGGATAGTGGCCTTGCCTAATTGGCTTCTTACCRTACGGTGTTAGGGTTCATCCACATTGTAGTTTCATTCATTTTCTTTTGGGACTTTGTGTTGGGATAGGAATCAAACTCAGGTCCTGCACATGCTCTGGCAGGACTCTACCASTGAACTACATCCCAAACTTCCTCCTTTTCGTGACCAACTAATATTCCACTGTGTGTATTTAGGTCTTTATTCATCCCTTTAGTATTTGATGGACACTAGGATTGTTTCTGCATTTTGGGCTTTTGTTAATAATACTGCTTTGAAAATGCATGTATCAGTTTTTGYGTGGATATATGCTTTCATTTCTCCTGTGTTAAACTTGCTTAACGTTTTTAATCTGCCAAGTATGGTGTGTATGTTTGTGCCGTTTTGTGGTAGGTAATGGGTGGTAGTTACTGCCATTCTCTTTGAATGAGCTCTGGCTCATTTTCTGCCTCTTGAAGTTGCTTTATCTTTTAGTGACRTTTCGGTGACTTTCCTTTTGGGACTTAGCTATGTTTTGCGGGAACTCTGCTTTCTTTCATCGTATTCAGTGGAAATCTCTTGCTAACAGTAGAAAGAAAGCTGCRGTCTTTCACTTGCTGGTTTGTGCCCTTCTTTGTTATAAATAAACAGTATCATTTAGCTCTTTTAGCCGTTTACAAARCACTTTCCTTTTGTGGGATCATGTGACCCTCCCTGTAGTCCTTTGAGATCAGCTCAGGTTGCTGTTTTCTGGGTGCTCAACTCATGATCCAGTTGATTTCCTTTCAGAGGAGTAATGGGTACTCACCTGTGACCCAAGAGGATCCCTTCATCCACCAGAGTCAGGGGTCTGTTGTTTTTAGAGCAACTTTTTTCTTCAGGTGCAGAGAAGGTGTGTTGGCCACCAAAGAAGAAAGCTTGTGAGCCGAGGCTAGTAATTTTCAAACTGTAGCCTGCATCACAGTCACTTGGAGGACTTGTCAGAATGCACACTGCTGGGTGTAAATGAAGTTTCTCAGCCCGAAGATCTGGGGTTGGCTTCAAGAATCTGCACTTCTAACTAGTTCCCAAGTGATGGGGTTACTGCTGGTTGCAGGTCCACACTTTGAGAATGATAAGCCTGGACAACTAAAGTGTGTTTCCTGGATTATTGTTCAGCTAGAACTTCTCAAAGTTTAATGTGCTGGTCTGATTCGGTTGGCTGGGGAACGCTTCTGAGAGGATCTGAGTAGCTCCCAGGTCATGCCATGGCCTCTGAGTAGCAGGACGTGAAAGACAAGGCGTGGAACTGGGGTATAGCTCAGTGGTGGAGCACTTGGTGGCATGGAGARGGCCCTGGGTTGGATTCTCAGCACCACATACAAAAAAGGGAGTCATATGCTCTTCTCTACTTGGGTAGTTCTTTGTTTTTGTACAACCATATGGTCCAAAATAAATGCATAAAGCTGAGCACACTGGCGTAGGCCTATAATCCTAATGACTCAGGAATCTGAGGCAGGGGGAATCACAAGTTTGAGGCCAGCCTTAGCAATTTAGTGAGACTCCAAGCAACTTAACAATGCCCTGTTTCAAAATAAAAAGGGCTGGGATGTAGCTCAGTGGTAAAGCGCCCCTGCATTCAGTCCCCGGCACTACTACTAATAATAAATGAATAAGTAAATAAATGCTTCAGAGTTTTAACTGTAATATTTGCAGTAAGTTAAAATTGACTGATGTGATCTTTTAAACAGATGTCTCCAAGTTTTAAAATACCTGTGTTTCACACATAGGTCCTAAGATTGAATACAGTATTTTCTTATTTGGGATTCTAAATTTATTTATTTATTTTTAATTAATGGAGTTATGCTGGGGACGGTGGCACACATCTGTAATCCTAGCGACTTGGGAGGCTGAGGCAGAAGGATCACAAATTCAAGATCAAACTTAGCAACTTAGCGAGGCCCTAAACAACTTAGTGAGACCCTGTCTCAAAATAAAAAGGGCTGGGGCTGTAACTCAGTGGTAGAGTACTCCTGGGTTCAATCTTCAGTAACAAAACAAAAGAAAGAAAGAAAAAAACAAAAACTAATGGAGTTACATTTTGTTTTTCTTTGATTCTTGGCAAATTAATGGCRAGTTGATTGCATTGACCTTAAGGTCTTGTTGTTCTGCCTGTTCTGCAAATTTCATACACAGAAGAAAATCATTTTGTGAAAGCAAAGTGCATGTTTTGTGAAGTAACTTTTCTTTTTTTCTCGGCAGATCATTGACAACCTTAGGGCTTGTTATATCATCRCTGGCTGACCAGGCTGCAGGCAAGGGTAAAAACAAGTTTGTGCCTTATCGAGACTCGGTCCTCACTTGGCTTCTTAAGGTAACCCGTTGCTCTGGTGCTCTCTTCCACCTAAAAGTTGGCCATTTCAGCAGGGTGCACTGGTGCRCGCTATGATCCCAGTGGCTCAGGAGGCTAAGGCAGAAGGATCACAAATTTGAGGCCAGTCTCAGCAATTTAGTGAGACCCTGTCTCAAAAAATAAAAAGGGCTGGAGATGTAACTCAGTGGTAGAGCACCCCTGGGTTTAGTCCCCAGTCCTTCCAAAAGTTAAAAGGAAAATAAAATTGGAGATATCAGATGTGACAGTTGGAAAATGTGTGCAGAACCAACCAAATGCACAGGGATCTGTGCTGGCAACACTGTCGTCCAAGGTCCCAGGAAGGCAGGGCCAGTTCTCTCTGTTGCTTTTTATTCTATTATAACTTTGTTTGACAGGCATTACTTGCTGCTGTGATTAGAAGAAGGTCATATTTAATCTTGTCATAAAAATCATTTGTGAAATGCAAACACGTCTCCCCATAGCATTTTTATCCAGAGTCATGTCATGGCCATACTTGATGGCTGATGCTTCTGACTCCATCTACTTGGGAGGCTGAGATAGGAGGATTSCAAGCTTGAGGACAGCCTGGGCAATTTAGYGAGCGTTCGTCTCAAAATAAAAAGGGCTGGGGGTGTGACTTTGTAGAACAGTGCTTACGTAGTAGGCACCAGGCCCAGGGCTCAATCCCTGGTACCATATGAAAAACAGAGTAATGTCACAGATGCATATTTACTGCTTTCATCAAATGTGTTGTGTCTGAAGTGGGCTTCCCTGAGATGCTATTTGAAATGCTTTGCAGGACAATTTGGGGGGCAATAGCCAGACCTCCATGATTGCCACCATCAGCCCCGCAGCAGACAACTACGAGGAGACTCTGTCCACGTTAAGATACGCAGACCGAGCCAAGCGGATTGTGAACCATGCCGTGGTGAACGAGGACCCCAATGCCAAAGTCATCCGAGAACTRCGGGAGGAAGTGGAGAAGCTGCGGGAGCAGCTCTCCCAGGCCGAGGTAAAGTCGGGGAGATGCTCCGTTTTCGAGTTCTTCCCTCACGGGGTGAGGACGTGCTTGCTTGCAGCTCTGGATCTAGCTCCCTGTGACTCGACGTTGCAGTTTTGGTTGGGGTCTTCTCTGTGCCGAGCATCGTGAGGACCTCCATGACTTCTGTCCTAGCAGTGCAGTCAACAAGGACATTCCTGGGACTTCTTGATTGTTCCCTCCAGTCAACAGGTTGGCCCTTGTACTTCCGTGTGAAATCCTGAGAAYCTAGTGTGGTGTTTTACCAATATCGTAGACTGGATTTCCACAGGGCCTTGCAGTTTTCAAAGAAGCTGGGTATCATCTCCATGTCGAGTCTTGCACATGCTGTGAGCATGGGTAATGAAGCATTAGGAATGATTCAGAAATTTTTTTTTCCTTTTTCATTTACATCAGCCTCCATCAGGCAACAAATCAGTATTTYCACATTGTTACCATCTTCCTTGGCTTTTCTGAAACTTTAATAACCATGTGCTCTCATAGACAAGTGCTGGTCTTTGCAGATTGCTGGGCGTGGCACCACCTCATTTGGCTTAGGTGAGGGGACAGAGATGGAGGCCAAAGGCCRTAGCTGCAGCCATCAGCTTCCTCACGGCAGGGCTCAAGTGTGCACCTGACACTTGCGTTCACGTTTCTTCCTGCTGCTGTCTTCTGACCCCACTTTAGTCGGAAATGAAGGAGGAGGGCGATCGCCATCATTTATTGATTGCTTATGTGCCGGGCATCTTTTCATACTCTTTATCTGTCAACATTATTTAATTAAAAAGTAATCGGCAAGAGACAGAACAGACACCGATGTTGGCGACCGTGGCCTTGCGGGGTAACTCTTTCTTTACYGCCTTGTCTTCTTCCAGACTGTGGGCTCTTAAAGTGCAGGAAGCCTTTGTTTTATTCATTTTTTTTTATCCTTAACTCCTCACCCAGCCGGCCCGGGAAGTGCTGCTGGTTTGTGTTTTACCATAAAGCAGAATCTCTTTATTGATGCCAAGAAGGGTTAGCAAAACACCAGGAAAATCRAAACATTGATGAAGTTTTAAAAGAGTCAGGATCCCAGGAGGAACGTGTATTTGTTCTGCAATTTGTTCAGAGGCAGAGTTTCTGGATTTGCCTTCCCACTGTGACCGTATGATCCAGACCAGATAGCCGGAGCAGTGCCTGGTCGGGGGAGAGAAGATGAGCCCCCTGGTGCAGCTGGAGTTTCCTGGCAATCACTCTGTATCCAGYAATGAACGTCCCCAAGCCTCTGGTGGCACCTGGAGACCTGGCTTGCTCAGCCAGCAGGCCATCACCAGCCCCGCTGCCAGACCGGGCTCCGCCATCGCAACAGTTCACAGCGCTTTGGTCTTCAGAGGCTCATGATGCTGCAGAGTATCAGAGCCATCCATGCCAAGCACAGCCCCCCAAGTTTTTAAGTTGCAGGTATCTCTGTTCGGACCCCTTAATTATTCTTACTGAACAAACTCAGAGGGGAACTTCTCAGACGTCCTGGTTCCAAGTGAATCATAACTTGGCAAAATGTCCATTACCCTCCACGGAGAAAAGTTGTTGAGAGGGCCCAGAGTCAGATTTTTTAAATAAATGAAAGGAATCATCACCTTTCTTGGTCAGTTGATGTAGTTCGTCTGTTTACTGGTGGTACGAGCTGCTCTCTTTGTCTTAATGAACAAGGAATTTCAGTGACCTTTTTTCCCACTTTAACGTTTCAAAGATAAATATTAGCGTTTAGGTCTTTAGGTGTGAAATTCTRAGCATGATAGCTGAAGTGATTTTGGAAATGGAACCCAGGGCCTCGTGCATGCCAGGCAGGCACCCTACCACTGCACTCACCCTCTGCCCTGAGATGACTCTTGTGACCTGCCCCGCTTTCATTCAGGGCTCTGGTGTCTTTTCTTTTCCTTGAAGCAGGAGCAGCCACACCCTCTTCCGTTCCGTGTGATTGGTAGAGGTCTAAACCCCACCCTGACAGTACGTGACTTAATTGCTTCCAGCAGACATCGGTGCCTGCTTCGGAAGGACATGAGGACACCATCGTATGGGTCTTGTACCTAATGCTGGGAGAATTCTGAAAGTCACACGTCTCTGCTTTCATTTTAAAGGCCATGAAGGCTCCTGAACTGAAGGAGAAGCTCGAAGAGTCTGAGAAGCTGATAAAAGAACTGACAGTGACGTGGGAAGAGAAGCTGAGGAAGACGGAAGAGATCGCGCAGGTAGCCGCTGACTGAGGCCGGGGGACGGGGGTTCTTCTCACGTAGATCTGCTGTCCTCAGGGTCCCTGCCCAGCTTGAGGCTTTGAGCTCAGCTTTAGACACCAGCTTCGAGTCTTTCATTGATTCAGCTTGGTCCATACCTGTCTGCAGTGTCAGGTGCTGCCCCTGAGCAGGCTGGGCTTCGGGAGGTGCCCTCATGCTTGGCCCTCGTCCACAGCCTGTCCTGTGCTTTTTAGGTCACCTGGCAAAGCACGAGGTTGAGAGCCCCGATAGGCCCCGAATTTATAACACATATAACAATGATTTGTTCAGTGTGTTTGATTCTCTGGGCTCTAACCCCTGCAATTTGGGAGGCTGAGACAGGAGGATGGCAAGTTTAAGGCCAGCCTGGGCAACTTAGCAAGACCCTGTCTCAACRTAAAAATTTGACACAGGGCTMGGGGTTTGACTCAGTGGTTAAATCCCCTTAGTTAAATCCCTAGTACCACCAAAAAGAAAGAAAGAAGATGCTGAAATAAAATAAAGCAAGGACTAATTCTACAGAGTATGTATGCTGTGAGTCTCTCTACACTGTGCATTTCATGAAGTTTTTTTTTGTTTTTTGTTTTTTGTTTTTTTATGCTGGGGATTGAACCCAGGGCCTTTGCATGCAAGGCAAGCACTTTACCAACTGAGCTATATCCCCAGCCCCTCATGAACATTTTTAATCCTACTGACCACATGGAAATATTGGACTATGCCAATCCAGTAGTTTAAAAACAATCACTAGAACCCAGTCCATCCTGTGCTGATGCATATATAAAACAGGGGAATGCATTACAACTCTTATTACATATATAGAGCTCAATTTTTCATATCTCTTGTTGTATATATAGTATACACACACCGATTCATATCCTCATACATGTACTTTGGATAATAATGATCATCACATTCAACCATCACTAATTACCCCCTGCCCCCTCCCTTCCCCTCCCACCCCCTGCCCTACCTAGAGTTCATCTATTCCTCCCATGCTCCCTGTCCCCATTCCACTATGAATCAGCCTCCTTATATCAAAGAAAATATTCGTACGCTAATGCTTCTTATAGAAAAAATTCACATGCATGCACACACACACACACACACACACACACACACACACACACTCGCTCACACACCCCTCCCTATCCCTCCCACACTACTTCATGGGTCCCCAGAGCACTTAACTCCACTGCGAAGTCTGTCAATAACTTGTCTGGTTTTTATAGCCTGTCTCCTCCACTAGAAGAGAAAGGAGGGACTTTGTCACACTCACTACTGCATTCCCAGCCCTCCATCAATACCTGCCACTTTGAGACTCTGAATAGGATAACTGTCATTTGAATTAGTGCACCAGTGAATTCAAGGCCTGGAATCTAAGGCCTCACCCTGCTGTTCCACCTGTCTCCAGGGCCTTTCCCCATCCCCTGGGGTCTCTCGGTCCCCGAGGCCAGCCACTGTGCCAGGGTCTGTCCTGGGCTTCCCTACACCCACCTTGGTCTTGCTGCTCCCTCATTTSTTCCTGTTGAAATTCTTCTCATGCTGGGGAACCCTCTTGAGTGTGCCTTCCCCCTACAGACTTTCCCTGAGCCTCTTCCTACMGCCGTCTCCCTCCTGTGACTCCTGYAGCTCTCAGTACCCCGGGGCACAGGGCTCTCCTCTTCTGGATTCAGTTATGTGCTTTTGTCTCCTCTGCCAGGACTTTACCTCCTTCCTGGCTGAGATGTGTCTGGTTCACCCTTGGTGCCCCTGTGACACTGACCTGAGATGTCACGCCGTGGCAGGCTGTCCATAAACGTGGTTCAGTGGAGAAGAATGTGTCATCTCATTGGCATCACCCCCAGAAACGGTGACTTACTCTTTCCATGGATACATCCTGTGAATACAGCAACAAATGGTGTTCCTGCTTTTGTCTTTTTGTGTGTGCCCAGGAGAGACAACGACAGCTGGAGAGCATGGGCATTTCTCTGGAGACGTCCGGCATCAAGGTGGGGGATGACAAGTGCTACTTGGTCAACCTGAACGCAGACCCCGCTCTCAACGAGCTTCTGGTGTATTATTTAAAGGTGAGAGTGTTTGAAGAGTTGAGCTCCTGAGTCGTCCACGGACGGCTCCCAGTTGACCTGGATGCCTGTCTCTGTGATTTTGCTTTTGTATCCAGCTAAACTCTCATTAGGAATAAGACACTAGAGCATGCAATCTCATCTCCATGGAGAAGAGAAGCATCTCCTTGGTTTCACCTGGGGCTGGGCAGCGGGGGTGAGGATCCCCTCCTTAGGCAGCTGTCAGGGACCACGAGTGGGCACCTGAGGGTGTCCAGGTGAGCCCCACCTATGGGAAGACTCCACAGTGAGATGACTAAGAATATTAGATCGTGCCACAAAGATCCTGAGAGGCCCTGGAGACTCTGTTATGCTTCTGAATCATTCTAAGGAGATCTCAAGATCCACCTGCAGTCGTTCTAGATGAGATAGCAAGGGTCTTCCGGGTCTGTCGTCTCTCAGCCTTTATCCTCAGGAAGAGACTCTTGGTCCTCTAATCAGCCCGTTGGCACCTTGACCTCAGAGTGTTCACTGACCGTGTTTGTTAAGTTATGATGGTGGTTCCCAAACTCTCTGGCTTTGGAACCCAATGATAATGTTTAAAAGTATCAAGGACTCTGTAGGTTTTATCTGTGTGTGTTGCATTAGACATTAAGACTGAAGACATCTTAAAAGACGAACATTAAAAAACATAACAGCAGTTCCTCTCCAGAGCTGCCTCATCACCCATCAATGGCCTTCAAAGACTCTACTGTCCGTGGTGATGAATGAGAAAGCAGAGGAAATCAGTAATATCTTTTTTTTTTTTTTTAATATATTTTTTTGAATTTTTATTTTTAATATTTATTTTTTAGTTCTCGGCGGACACAACATCTTTGTTGGTATGTGGTGCTGAGGATCGAACCTGGGCCGCACGCACTCCAGGCGAGAGCGCTACCAGTTGAGCCACATCCCCAGTCCCAGTAATATCTTTATTGAAGTGATTTTCAGCTCCTGGGCCTCCGTACCCGTTGTCATGAACATGCTTTTAGAACTGCTGGCTTATTCTGCTCAGTAAGAAATAAGAAATCTGAAACAGGCCCCTAACATTGACATGGGGCACCCCAGCTGACCTAGGACATTCAGCTGACCATTGGAGCACACTTAATCATGCACACAAACTCTGAATTATGTTAGTATATAAATATAT